AATTTATACACACTGGAAAAGCCCGCTGATATGAAAGGTGGTGAAAATCATTTGTTGGGACCAACGTCAGACGTCCAATTAGAGACTGTATCAGAAACTTCACAGACCTCTCAGGAAATTGTTACTACCCGACCTCAGGAAAGTGTTTCTTCAGATCTGTTGAACTATGCTATCATTTCTAATGGTCAGTGTTCATCGTGTTCGGATAGTAAAGCAGGAGATAAAGCGTTACCTTGCTGGGAATGCGATAGATTATATCATGCTGTTTGTGTGAAGGAAGATGGTACTGAAAAAGATGGTAAAGACATAATCTGCCCATCTTCATTCTTTAACAGCTTTATTAAGGCTTCCAACAAAGATGGTGTGTTTGCTAGAAGGCATGGTAACTTTACATTTGTGTGTGATTTTTGTAAAGTTAACAAAGGAAAGAAAAAAGCTGCTAATAAATCAGATAAATTTACTCTTTTGGACCACAAAATTGATGCAGTCAACAATTCTTTATTGTTGGAGTTAAAAGAGCTAAAAACCATGATATCCCAAAACAAGAGTGCAGCTACACATCAAACTTCATCAATCTCTGAGTCTAACAACGAATATAATCCTTGGAATGATAAGCAGAGAACAGAAAACATGAAAAAAGTGGTTTCAGTACAAAAGGACAGTCAAGGTAAACTCATCAGTTCAAAAAAACTAGAAAAGATTTGTATTGAGAACGGCCTCTCAGTAAGTAGTACCTTCCACTTGCAGAAATCTGATACTACTGGAATTGTTCTCAATTCTCAACACGATGTTGATGTTCTGACTAAACAACTCAAAGATGAGCAGCATTCTGTTGTAAAAGTATCAACAAGAGTACCAACTGTCCACATTGTAGGATTATCAAGAGAATATACCGTGGAGGAACTAAAATCTATGCTTGAAAAACAAAATCCTGGGATATCAAAGCTTCTCGATAGTTCTTCTACTTCTAATGATGATAAAATGATCGAAATCTTGGCTGTTAAACCTCTCAAAAACAATAAAGACATCTTTAAGGCTATTGTAAAAGTCAGCAATGTTATTAGATCCATAATTGCTCAGCAAGGGAACAAGGTGTTTATTGGATACCAGTCTATGTGTAAAGTCTATGACAGTATCTTTGTTCTTAGATGTTTCAATTGCCAGGAGTATGGTCATTACAGCAAAGAATGTAAAAATAAAGCTGATCCAGTTTGTGGGTTTTGCTCTGAAAATCATGAATCACGAGATTGCTTAAAAAAGACTGATGATCATGTTTTCAAGTGTTGTCACTGTGTCAGAGCAAAAAACAATGATACTAATCATCACACTGGAGACCCCAGATGTTCTGTATTTGTGGAACATCAGAAAAGAATAAAGAAGACAATTCCTTTTTATCAAAGCAAATGATCAGATCCAATGAATCGTCAGATTTCAACCTCCTTCTCTTTAATCCTAGATCAATCAACAACAAAGCTGATCTTTTTGTGAGCCTTTTGGAGGACAAAAATATTGATATTGCTGCTGTTTGTGAGACGTGGCTGACTAGCAACTCATCAGTAACCACTGCTATTATTAAGGAACGAGGTTACTCACTCCACCATAATTATAGGCTTAACGAGAGGGGTGGTGGCACTGCACTCATATTTCGGTCAAATTTAACGTGCTCTATGGAAAAGAGTAGGATAGTATTCAAACATTTCGAACTCACAATGGGAAAAGTTAAGACCAGCTCTAATAAGATTCTTTTTGTTGTAATGTACAGGACTGGCCCTTTAACCTCTGCTTTTACACAGGAACTTGACCTTCTTCTCTCTGATATTTCTACTCGCTGTGATAATATTGTCCTGGCCGGAGATCTCAACATACACTTTGATGGTAACAACAGGGTTGCATCTGATACTCTAAAGATACTCAGATCATATGGTCTTCATGCTCTGTATGATCGTTCAACACACATTGGTGGTGCATGTCTAGATCAGTTATTTACTTTCTCGCTGAACAACCATCTTCATTGCAATAATGTGTTTATTGACAATAGCGATACACTAGGCTCAGATCACTTTCCTATAATCTGTAACATAAGCAACACTTTAGGAAAGAAATATTTCAAATCAATTGAATTCAGAGATATTAAAGCTGTAGACAAGGATACCTTTTCACGTGACCTTAATGATGTTCTTGATCAGTTTGATGTTTCAGAATCATTTGAGACTTCTGTAGTGAGTCTTGATGCCTCTATAGTGAACCTTCTTGATGTTTATGCTCCATTAATTAGCAAAAGAGTGTCAGTAGTGGATAAAGCTCCATGGTTTGATAAGGAATATAGAGATCTGAGAAAACTTCGTCGTCGAGCCGAGAAAAAGAAAAATAGATCTGAGGGACACTTTCTGCACTACAAAGAACTCTGTCATGAGGCTACTACACTAGCTTTGACTAAAAAGAAAGATTTCTTGGAAACTGTTATCAATAAGTCAGAGAATAAAACTCGAACTCTCTATCAAGTTGTCAATAAGGTAATGGATCGTAAACAAAGTAGAATTCTACCTGACTACACTGATAATATTGAACTACTTGCATCTGACTTCAACAAGTTCTTCTCTGAAAAGGTTGAAAAGATTCGTGATAACATACCTGTTACCTCTATACCAGATTGCACTGATACTACTGTAACACCCCTCTTCGAATTTGAACCAACCTGTATCTCAGAACTTGAAGATATAATCAAGGAAAGTGGAATCAATTGTTCACCTAATGACTGTTTACCACAAGATCTTGTTAAGGATAATATCACTTCCCTATTGCATGTTTGGGTTGATCTTGTTAACCAATCGCTGTCCACCGGCAGTATGGATGGTGTTAAACTGGCTGACGTTATTCCCCTAGTGAAAGATGAGTCTCAGGATCCGAATATACTGAAAAACTACAGACCTGTCTCCAACCTTACATTCCTGGGAAAATTAATTGAGAGAGTAGTTTTGAGAAGACTTAACGAGCACCTTAGTCGGAATAATCTGAATTGTCAGGAACAATTTGCCTACAAGAAACACCACAGCACAGAAACTCTCTTGATAAAAATCGTTAATGATGTCCTTATTGCTGCAGATGAAAAAACAGCTACTGTTGTTATGCTGTTGGACCTCAGTGCAGCCTTTGATACTGTGGATCATAATTTACTTCTGAAGATCTTGAGGCAAGAAATAGGAATAAGGGGGTCAGCTCTGAGTTGGTTCACCAGCTTCCTAACAGGACGTTGTCAGCGTATCAGACTTGGTAAATCAGTCTCTGAAACCATAATTTTACGTTTTGGAGTACCTCAGGGCTCTGTGCTAGGCCCTGTACTTTTCAACATCTATATTAGATCATTGTACAGCTGTGTAAAAGAATCTGGGTTTTCTATTATTGGTTATGCAGACGATCATCAAATTATGAAATCTTTCAAACCCTCAGATCAGGTGAAAACCTTAACAAACCAACTGAGAAATTGTTTCTTGAGGATAAAGAATTGGATGTCTCAATATTATCTGCAATTAAATGACTCTAAAACTCAGCTTATAGTCTTTGGACCTAGAAAGGTACTAAATGAGATTGAACTTCATGGGGTTGAAATTGCTCCTAACACATTAGTTATGTTTGTCCCCACCATTAAGAATCTAGGGTTGGTTATGGACAATCAACTAGTTTTTGATAAACAAATTATAAATCTCAAGAAGAAATGCTTTCATACCTTGCGCAATATCAGGAAAATCCGCTTCCTTTTGAATCTCAAACAGATTAAAGTCATCGTCAACAGTCTAGTGGTATCATGTCTAGATTATTGTAACGGTTTATATTTTGGTATTGGCGAGAAGCTTTTACATCAGCTTCAGTTACTACAAAATGCTGCTGCAAAAGCCGTTACTGGTAAATATAAGCATGACCACCTGGAAGACGACCTGACTAATCTTCACTGGCTGGATGTAAAGAAAAGGATTGTGTTCAAAATATTACTGTTGTCTCACAAATCATTATTAGGGCTCGCTCCAACGTATATTCAAGACATGTTTCGGTACACTCATCATGGTCACACATTGAAACTTATGGTTCCATCGTTCAACTCTAAGTTTGGCGAGCGAAGCTTCTCAGTCGTGGCTCCAAAGATCTACAACCGTCTGCCTACTACCATCACATCAGCTGAATCCCTGGAATCTTTTAAAGCATTTCTAAAAACTTTCTTATTTAAACTGTCTCAGCATGAACTTGAAAAACTATATCAATGACTGATTTTGGCCTATATTTAGTGTTAGTTCTTTAGTTTTAAGTTTCACTCATATGAACGATATATTTTCAAGTATTTGATAGCAGTCCTAACTTTTATCATGATAGTTTCTGGGATGACTAGATTAAACACTGCTGAGTATAAGTTTATCTTAATAGTGGTTTTCTTAAACTTCAATTTATTATTATTAATGCAAGGCATTTTAATTTCATTCCCCACTCCCCAGTTTGCATCAAATATTAGGTTTCAGACAGACTGCAGTGCGCACATTATTTACCGTGTAGCTCCTTTTGAGAGGATTTAGTGACAACGAACGATCCCATAATTGAATTGTTGCATTATTTTTCTCTCCGTACTATATTAAAGTTCCTGTTCCGATCATTTAGAGCGTTCAGACTTTATTCCCTCGAGTGTTCATTTTATTTTAAGTTTCCTTTTCCTTTAAGAGTCGTTGTGTTAAAAGCCCCCTCAGTATTCAGTGAGAGCCCTGAAGTGTCTGTTACCTAACATGTCTAGTTAAATTTCCATCAGCAGAAAATTGTCCCGAATATCATGACGGGATGACGCTATTTCATTAATTACTTTTAAACAGATTTAACCGAACGTAACACGTTTATAAAGATGATAAACATCCAATTTGCTGTGTTTTTTCATTTCTAACACCACATTTGATGTTTCATTTCATTATCATTACCATAGTTTTGCAACACAATAACAATAGATACTGAACTATTTGCTCCTTTAGAATAAAGATTTTCTCCAGTGATGTGGCTAGCAGCTCTTATCCTGATTACAGCACTAATAGCAGTGATACCAGTACTTCTAAAAAGGTTCAAACAAGGCAAATCTCAGTCTCAACATCGAGATGAAGCCCAAATTCCGCTGAGTGTAAACTACCATCTCACCAGAAAATGCAACTACGAATGCAAGTTTTGCTTCCATCAAGCAAAAACGTCTTATCATCTGCCCATCGAAGAAGCTAAACGAGGTATCAGAATGCTGGTTGATGCTGGAATGAAAAAGATCAACTTCTCTGGTGAGACAGCTTTACCATCAATCCGAAAATATATTTCTGAAAATATAAAAAAGTGTTGTTAATTTGCTACAAATTGTACAAATGAATACATTCAATAGAATATAAGCTGGCTGCATCTATAGTGATTCAAGTAATCCACATTTAAAGACGTTTGCTATTAAACTGAGGGAAAACAGCATCTTTACAAATGTTACTTATCAGGAGGGGAACCGTTTATCGTTGACAGAGGAAGGTACGTAGGTGAACTGGTTAAATACTCAAAACAAGAGTTGGGTATGGAGAGTGTAACGCTAGTGTCAAACGGGAGTCTGATTAAGGAGAAGTGGTTCCAGGAGTACGGTAGCTATCTGGATATCATGGCTATCTCCTGTGATAGTTCGGAGCCTGATACGCTGAAATCTATAGGAAGGTAAGACTCGCTATTGAGACCAACATTTTCAACGAATATCGCTAATCGTTAATCCATTAACATTTTACAAGCGTAATATTTTTTGTGTATAATATTATATAGTTGAGATTTGGGTAAAGTCTGAGAATGATTATAATAATTTTTGAACTTTATCTAAATATCAACTTAATAGCGAGCGGTTAGGATTATTAATTTCGAAGTTTCTTAACTTTATAAATAGTGGGCGGACCGATTCCCTAACGGATCGAATCCCTGCAACTTACACTAACTTACACTAACTTACACTAACTTACACTAACTTACACTAACTTACACTAACTTAGTTAGCTGGAAAGTGGAGACATTGATCTATATAAAATTCGGATCGAAAGAAATAACCCAATTACATATTTGTCACATAATTATAACTCATAATTACCTGATCTTGCCTCAATGCCGCCTCAAGGTACGCTAAACGTACGGAACACCTACAACAACTACAACTAATACATGATATGTGTGAGAAGTATGAAATCCTGTTTAAAATCAACACGGTGGTGTGCTCGGCTAACTGGCACGAGGATCTTTCCGAGATGATCGGAACACTGGGTCCAGTGCGCTGGAAGGTCAGTTACGTGAATATTTAGAAACATTATTAAACCTACATTATATTGTAATTTTGGCCACAACTTCTGTTTACTTTATTCTAGTGAAAAGAGTCTAAAACAAGTTCTGCAAAATCTTTTTTGTCGTCGTACCAAAAGACTTTGTTAAAATATCATGAACCTTTACAAAGAAACCTGCTGAAACATTCCTTAAACCATACAGGTATTCCAGTGTCTCCTTATCGAAGGAGAGAACTGCGGGGACATAGACCCGGTAAAGAAGATGCGGGACGCTACTGACCAGGTCGTGACAAGGGAACAGTTCCAACACTTCCTCAACACGCACAGAAATGTGAAGTGTCTTGTACCAGAGTCCAATGAAGCAATGCGAAACTCTTACCTCATATTGGATGAGTACATGAGGTTTTTTATACACGTGTTATTTTCAAATTATTCTGTTTTTTAAACTTTCTTGTTAATGTATCCCTCATTTCCAAAATACTCGAGTAATATAATATATATATAATATAAACTGAAATAATACCTATTTAATTCATATTTAGCAAGTTCACAAATTTTCTTTTCTATTTTCGTTAACAGACTTTTAATTTTTGTTAAACTATTTCAGATTCTTAAACAACACAAAGGGTCGCAAAGATCCAACTAAATCTATCCTGGACATCGGAGTTGAGGGAGCTATGGAGGGAAGTGGGTACGATCACAAAGAATTCATTAAACGAGGTGGAAAGTACGAATGGTCCAAGAAAAGTTCAGAACTGGAGTGGTGATATTGAAATGTAGTGAACTGTGAAGTTGAACACTATCATATTACTATCAGCGGATGAGAGTTATACTTACAGATATTGTTTAATTTGTAGAGACTTTGTTTTATATTTTATTTTATATTACCTGTTTAAGTGCAGCTATAACTGGACATTTTATATTTTTATTTTTATTGTTGATGAATATATAACTATTCAATTTGAAATATTGCCTAAACTGAGCTGCCTATGTGTTTTTAAAAACAATTACTATAAATCACTTCAAATAAATGTAGACTGTTTAAAGTAAAATGTAAACAAGAATTTCCAATCAACAAACAACACCGGATAAGAGTACAACCTTTATGGCATTATGCCAAACAACAAGTTTCAATATCAAGTGCCTTTTTGGGTCATTCGAGCGGATACCATGGCCTATTGGGCGCCTATCAGACGCCTATCGGGCGCCTTGCCATGGCCAATACTACGGCACATTTTGTTTGACCGTTTTACAACTTGAAGGTACGTGACACGATCAATTTTTGGACTGATTTTACTTGTATATTATAAATAAGAATGCATCGATTGTCACACAACATAAATGTATCATAAATTGTAGTACTATGAAATCGATTGTCACACAACATAAAATGTATTATAAATTGTACTATAAAATCATGTATTCTAATTAAATAATATCTCCAGAAAGGATGGCGTCCCTTTTCTTGCAAACTAATGCAGGCTTTTTCAGTTCCGCATCCATGGACGGTAGTGATCCAAAGGAGTCCGAAAGTGCAGATGAGTTCATCGTTAAGGGTAGAAGATGTAAACAAGGATGTGTAGATAGTAAATGCGATGTGAACAGGATTACTTTTTGCCTTATAAACTCAGCTAGTTACAGGTGATTGCATGATAATGCTCACTGATCTGGTGCTGCTTGCTACGGTGGCTCGCGTCACTGAGATCACATATACCCGGCTATATCGGTATCTTGATTGCATGAGAGTCCTCCCGATAGGCGCCCGATAGGCCATGGTATCCGCTCGAATGACCCCTTTTTGTTTAAAACTTCTTTCAAACTCTTAAGGGGCCATCTACTTAGGACGTCCGTCAAATAGGGAGGGAGGTGGTTTTGGAATTTCGGACAAACCCGTACAGGGGGAGGGGGGTGGTCTGAAAATCTGCGATTTTGGTGGACGTCCTAAATGGTTTAGACTGCTGCGTTATTTCTGAATAAATCGGTGTTTTTATATAGTGGAGAAACTCAGGACAACAGAAATAACTCAGGACAACAGAAATAAGACTAGTCAATAAAATTTCATTCAGTTAAGTTTAGAGGCGCCTCATCTGTCAACAAAACCTTCTCAGATCATTATTATTCTCGCCAAATATTCAAAATGGCGAAACAACTTATTCGTCATTTGCGTCATCTCAATCAAGGAGTCATCAAATGATTTTACTATATCATTTAAAAAATGATCTTTTTATATTATATATATAACTAGTGTAACCCGGCCTACGGCCGGGATTTCACTGCCGCAGTTAAAAAGGGTAGGAGTAATTACCCGCTGAGTCAAAACCCGCATTAGGTGACCCAATAGTTTCTTAAACAATAATCTCATAATCAGTTATTTCTTGTGGATAATTTAATCATTATTAGGCACCACATTCCATGATCATAAGGTCTGAACACCGAGTATTACACCTCATCACTCCCGTCCTGAACCGCTTTCTATTTTTATTTAAATCGTTATAGAAATTAACCCTTGTTAACTCCGCACCACACCCGCATATTATATTTGAAAACACGCATAACATTGTCGTATGAACTCTCTCTCTCTCTCTCTCTGCAGTCCAAACAGACCCCAAACACTAACAGTACTCCCTCCCCTAATAAGCTTAAGGTATAACATTACAGCAAATCTTCTGGGCTAATCCAATTATGACGCTACTTAAATGCAGCAGATAACTTATTACACAGTAATGAGAGAGAGCGAGAGAAAGAGAGAGCAGGCCCCGTAACTCTTGCCGTTCTGCTCAAGCAACTTTATGTAACATTTGTGGTACAAAACCATCAATTAAACCACTTACCACCGGCCGATTTTTTAAAAAATTTCCTATGGGCTTCATCAGAGTTTTGTCGACACTATACCGAAAAAATCAGTCCCGTAACTCTTACCGTTTTTTTTGTATAACCGACCGGAAATTACACACGGACAGACAGACAGACAGACACACACACACACACACATTCTGGTGTTATTAAGGTGATTATTATGTTATTATATTAGGATGACTTGACTTTGAAGAGCAGAAAATGGCCCATACCCCGTATTGCAATCAAAAGAAAGTTTGATTTAGTTTAAGAATCTCTGATAATGCCCTTCAAAGACGTAGTTGTTCTCTTTGATTTTGACTGGACAATCAATTATAAAGAAAAGCTTCGTATCAAAAACCAAGTTCTGAACCATGGAGGATGTGTCTCATATTCTTTAACCAAGAAGGCAAGTTTCACAGATATTTAGATCTATAATAAAACGATTATTTTAATTAAAAATTTATCGATGGTAAATAAATCAGTGGAGGCTTCTCACGATTATTGTTCACCAAATACATTACATTAAAGATTTAATTTATGTTTGTGAGTGCAGAACTTACACGAGCCTTCGTAGGTTAAATTCATCGTGTCCACCAACCCAACGCTCACCAAGGATACGTACCGTGGCAGGGCTGCCAAGAAACTTGGAATACCTATTGTAGATATTTATTACTTAAAAGAGTGCATCATTGCGAACTCTTTACTAGAATTGGATAAATCTTTGGTCTTGAGTGATACTGAAAAATTACAGTCTGGAAGAATAGGTAAAGATTCATAATTTATTTTTCAGACAGTATTATTTTGGGCCGAAACGAATTTAGGGACAGTTTTTTGCTGATAAATGATACGCATAACTCGGTAAGTTTAAATCTGTGGTTACAAATGAATCTTGTTAAAATATCTAAATGTTCAGATTTACCAGATCAGGGTGATTCAGCTGAACTCGAGTCAGACTATAGAAAAATCCCAGATTTCCAGTGAGTAAATTTCACGGGACCAGTTGTCATGGGTTGATTTTCAGTTGTTAAGTTTTACCGAAGTATAGGATGAGAAGTGAATGAGAATTATTGAATTACTTCATCTATATTTCTAGTCATCTTTGCTGATCTTAGTATCCATTTTAGGGATCTGGCAACAAAAGGGAAAGAAGACGTCAAAATTGACCGCAGCAAGTTCCGCTGTGTCAAATACTCCACTACTGTGAGTTAGTAACTCTAGTTAGTAACTCTAGTTAGTAACTCTAGTTAGTAACTCTAGTTAGTAACTCTAGTAAGTAACTCTAGTTAGTAACTCTAGTGCAGTTACCACTCTTATCTCATTTCACAATCCTGTTAACTTAGACTATTGCTTTACTAAAGGATATTTGAGATGCTTTGAAGTGTTTCACTAATCATGATAATGATAATGTGAGAAAATAGGTCTGTAGATTACGTAAATCCAATGTTTCAGGGATGCACAGAACTTTGGATGAATGAAGGAACTCCTCCTGAGGAGTACATAGTATTGAAATGGGTTACTCTTCCTAAGGTATTATATTTAGGTTAGCTGTTCATTTTGTTCATTTAGAGAAAACTACTATCGTTCTATTTTGGTTTTTTTTTTTTTTTAAATCACAGAGTTGAATGATAAAGAGATCAAAGTAAGTTATTTCCAGATTGATAACAATTCAGGCAATGAATCACAACAAAGGATGGATATTCTCAAGTTTCCAAGATGCTTTGTTCATGTACTGCTTCATTACTCCACATGCAGATGTCACGAATACACTCAGCCACCCAAATATGAAGGTTCGTATGACGAAATGGACAATGTGATAAAAATACACTATAACTACGATTTACCGTGGAGTTTGGGCGAAAGGAAATAGCCACGGGAAATTGAGATTCGCAGTAAATCTGAGTTTTACTGTACTATCTTATCTATAAACTTGTTCAACTTAGTTTGACATTGTTTAAATTTTACTAAAAGTTACACAACTGTATGTAGGTTAACCAAGATACAAAGATGCCAGGAAATTCAGACAAAATCTTACATTATTACTGGAGAAAACTATTGGAAGTTTTTAAACAGTTGGAGAATTGGAAAGTATCCGTCAGTAACATCCATAGGTAACTATTTACAAGTAATTATCAGGAAAGTATCCGTCATTCATAGGTAATTATTTATAAGTAATTATCAGGAAAGTATCCGTCATTCATAGGTAACTATTTACAAGCAATTATCAGGAAAGAGTTCAACTTTTTCCAATTAGTTTATTGTACCCACGAAAACATTCTCTTTCACATAATATTACGTAATCACTGAGGGGGTTTTAAATGATTACGCTAGTGGTATTTTTAACACGATAGTTAAAACTGATTACGGAGGGGGTGGGTCCGGGGGTTAAAAATTGTCCAAAAAGTGATCAGGTAATATGTGAATGATCCCCTAACTTCAGGGACCTATCAATAATGCATGATATAGCCCACTTGCTCAAAACCGGAGCCAGTGAAGCCGAGATAAAGGAACTTGGGGACCATTTATCGGAGGGCTGGGAACACTGCACCCCTCCAAATCTACGTGCTGTCTACTCTTCTATTTTCATATCCCAGGTTTGCTGAATTTCATATTAAAAGTTCATGTCTAGGTGCTAACATTAAATAGGTTACAGATTATTGTAACGCAATATTTTAGTTTATTTTCAGGTATGTAAACAGTTCGAGGTGTTGAAAGTTAGTTTAGAAATAAGACTACTTGTCATTGAATGGAAACTTTGTATTGATACTATTAAAATGATACAAGAAGTAGTAATGTCTAAGCAATCACCTATATCCAATAATTTGAACTTAATCTGTTGGGTTAGATTCCTCTAGCATGGATTTTCTGGTGTTTTAATAGATTTAATTTCCGAACTGCTGGATACGATCAATCTGGAAATCTGAATAGTTTCTCTCCGGAGTGAATATCCATATGTCGTTTGAGGTGTGCTTTCCGAACTGCTGCGTACGAACAATCTGGACATTTAAATTGTTTCTCTCCGGAGTGAGTATTCATTATATGTGCTTGGAGGTGTGATTTCAGAGCTCCTGCATACGAACAATCTGAACATCTAAATGGTTTCTCTCCGGAGTGAGTCTTCATATGTATTCTGAGGTATTATTTCTGAGCTGTTGCATACGAACAATCTGAACATTTAAAAGGTTTTTCTCCGGAGTGAGTCTTCATATGTATTCTGAGGTGTGATTTCAGAGCTGCTGCATACGAACAATCTGAACATTTAAAAGGTTTCTCTCCGGAGTGAGTCGTCATATGTACTCTGAGGTGTGATTTCAGAGCTCCTGCATACGAACAATCTGAACATTTAAAAGGTTTCTCTTTGGAGTGAGTCTTCATATGTACTCTGAGGTGTGATTTCAGAGCTGCTGCATACGAACAATCTGAACATTTAAATGGTTTTTCTCCGGAGTGAGTCTTCATATGTACTGTGATGTGTGATTTCCGAACTGCTGCATACGAACATTCTGAACATTTAAAAGGTTTCTCTCCAGAGTGAGTCTTCATATGTACTCTGAGGTGTGATTTCAGAGCTGCTGCATACGAACAATCTGAACATTTAAATGGTTTCTCTCCGGAGTGTGTCAACAGATGATTTGATTGATTTGAAACTTTTACAAAATAGCAAGTATACAAATGTACAGCAATTCGAACAAACATATAAAATGGGCCGAAATGTATAAATGCTAAAAAGCGTGGGTCAGTGAAACAAGTACAGAGGACAACTTTCAGAACAGGAGTTTTTTGGCCGCCCAAAGTCTCAATAACATCACCTCCACCTAGTAATAAAATTATGAAACGTGAAAAGTGTGAAACAATCAAATAATAATGTATTTATATAATATAATTGTCTCTCAAATACAGATAACGTCCGTAAACTCTTAAAATACTCCTACAAGTACATATTATACTGATCGGTGTCCGAGAAACATGAATTACGCCATCATGGTGCCTTCTTAACCCGGCTACAGACCTTCCCGTTACGGATGTAGTGGTCGAGATGAGTCTGTTCAGCCTTCTTCTTCTTCAGGTCAGTTACCACGTTCTTCCTTGCTGCACGCTCTTCACTGGATCTATCAGGACAGATCCATACATCTTTGTGTGCATCAGCCATCCTCAGTCTCCCTGTTTTCATCAGAATCTGATGAACTGCTGTTGAGCTAGGGACGGTGATCTTGACTGGTCGGATAGCCGTGATACCTGGCCTCTTCCAGCCGACTCTAGTCGCTTCAAAATGAGGTCTCTCCCCGATCTCCTCCAATACTGCGGTTACCAGAGCTGGAAGCTGTTCTCCATCCTCTTCTTTCAGTCCAAACACTATCAGATTCTTGCTCCTGTCCTCCTCTGCAGCCACACTCTTTATTACATTCTTCAGAATTTTACTGTTGCAGACCGCGCCATTTGTGCTGTTCTTTTGTACAGCGGCACTGTAGCTCTTAATCCCTGTCTCCACCGTTGTTTGTACTGTCTCTTCAACTGACGTCTTAAACAACTGTAGTTGTTCGTCCTTCTGCACTAGCAACTGGTCCTGCAACCTGACCATCTTTTCCTTGTCTGCTAGTGCTTCCGTCTTGAGGCACTCAACGATTTCCATCATAGCGCTCATCTGACTACTCTGCCGTCGTACGAGGTCTGCTGCTTGCATAACCCATTCTGCCATATACCTTTTATAGATAGACGGAGACATGAGTATTTCTTGGTCCATATCTCCACGAATTTCGAAGTTTTCTACTTTCAGTTCTCTTGCCATCGAAGTGAACCATCTATCAGCACATCCCTCTACATCTTCCTTTTCTTCATAGTTGAAATCCTTGAGTTTCTTCTGAGATCGGGTCAAATGTAAATCATCCTCCGTGGTGTACATTGTATAGTAATGTACAAGTATACACACGCAAAGGCTTACTACGCGGTAGCAGCAAACTGAATTTATCGCAAAGTTACAAAAGATGATCTCGAAGACTTGATTTCCGAACTGCTGCATACGAACAATCTGAACATTTAAAAGGTTTCTCTTCGGAGTGAATATCCATATGTCTTTTGAGGTGTGCTTTCCGAACTGCTGCATACGAACAATCTGGACATTTAAATGGTTTCTCTCCGGAGTGAGTATTCATTATATGTGCTTGGAGGTGTGATTTCAGAGCTCCTGCATACGAACAATCTGAACATTTAAAAGGTTTTTCTCCGGAGTGAGTCTTCATATGTATTCTGAGGTGTGATTTCAGAGCTGCTGCATACGAACAATCTGAACATTTAAAAGGTTTCTCTTCGGAGTGAGTCGTCATATGTACTCTGAGGTGTGAGTTCAGAGCTCCTGCATACGAACAATCTGAACATTTAAAAGGTTTCTCTTTTGAGTGAGTCTTCATATGTACTGTGATGTGTGATTTCCGAACTGATGCATACGAACAATATAGACATGTGAATGGTTTTTCTCCGGAGTGAGTCTTCATATGTACTGTGATGTGTGATTTCCGAACTGCTGCATACGAACATTCTGAACATTTAAAAGGTTTCTCTTTGGAGTGAGTCTTCATATGTACTGTGATGTGTGATTTCCGAACTGATGCATACGAACAATATAGACATGTGAATGATTTTACCCCAGTTTGAGTTGTTAAGGGATATTGAAGAGTTGTTTTTCGTGCACTTACATTTGAAGTTGAACAATCAGGAAATTTTAACAGTTTTTCACTAGCAAGAATATTTTCTTGAGGATTGGGATTCTCCTGAGACATGGTAGAATTGTCCGATATATTACTGATCACTGAAGACCCTGATCCTTTGCTACTATTATCATTCTGAAATTCATCACATCTTGATCTTTTTTGTTTGCCAGAATTATTAACATGATCATTGATATGCTCAATAAAACTGTCCTCCTCTAGAAACTTTTCCCCACAAACTGAGCAGAGGAAGCCTCCAGCTTCTCCAGTAAATTCGCCCGGCTCCGTTTTAACTTCTGATTTAAGAACATCACATTTGTTTTGAACACAACAACCATCTTGTTCTGTAACAGAACCGCTTTCATGAACAGAACCTCTAGTAGATTCACGTAGTAAACTGTTCTTCTCATCTTGTACTTGCAGGTCAGGCTTATAATGACGTTCCCTGATATGTTCAAGGAAATACTTTTTGCTTCTCAAATCCTCTTCTTCTGTCTTCACTACTCTTTTTATGTGAGAACATGACATCTGAAGAGTATTCTGGATAAATTAATAAATACATTCAGGGGGAATTGGAAATCAATAATATTGCACAAGATGAGGAGTGCTGAGTATCAATCATAATTTTAGTATTACTAGAGTAACAGTTAAAACGGTTAAACATGCATCAGATACATTTGTAAAATTTCAAGTGACAGTAGAACTTAATATATATTAGCTAAAACGGTAAACGCACTGCCAAAACCCCCATCTGTCGCAATAGAGTTTGTGTCGCACTACAGTCCAGGTAGCGCACTGAAGTGCGACAGTGTCGATTTTGGAGGATTGTTGCACTATAGTACGTGCTAAAACAAAAATAAGAAACGTTATCAGTACGAGGGCGAGAATTGAGAACGCAAGCAAGCCTTATTAACGTATCGAAATGTAAGGTTGTGCTCTAATTCAACTTCCTATTAGGGTCTAAACAGACGTGAAACTCTCTCACGAAACGCGTACAGTAAAACCCCAATTTACCGCGAAGTTTGGGGAAACCAGTCCCCTAACTCTTACCGTTTTCTTGATTATTATCAATTTTCTTAATTTGAAACCACTTAAAAGTGGGTTGGATATTACACGCGAACAAACATCGCTCTACAATTTGAATAATATAAAGTAGATTTTTGATGTTTCCAGAAAGATCCGCATTTTGCATCACAGTATAATATTGTTACTAAACCCTTAACTTTGCAGCTCTGTCTGGACATTTTAGCTGTGGCGCCTCAACCAAGAAAACTAAACTCCATACAAGAAGTTTACGCGATATTGGACTTTTCATTCAGTGGTCCCGTCACAGAATCGTCGATACGTAAGTTACAGTGTTACAGTGTTGCAGTGTTACAGTGTTACAGTGTCACAGTGCTACAGTGTTGCAGTGTTACAGTTTTGCAGTGTTACAGTGTTGCAGTGTTACAGTGTTACAGTGTTACAGTGTTACAGTGTTATAGTGTTATAGTGTTATAGTGTTATAGTGTTATAGTGTTACAGTGTTACAGTGTTACATTGTTAAATTGTTACAGTGTTACAGTGTTACAGTGTTACAGTGTTACAGTGTTACAGTGTTACAGTGTTACAGTGTTACAGTGTTACAGTGTTACAGTATCTTAACAACTAAGATCACCATATTCCACAGCTCTGACTCACAAGAAAGCCCTATCCTGCCCTCTGGAACACCCAATATCTGCCCAACTGTTTGCCAGTAACTCTAACGGAGGAAGTGGAAAGTGCAAGATGCTATATCATGTGACATCAGAAAGGAATGTGATCAGTATTCTATCAAGAGGCTTCTATTTACCCACCCTGGTTTGGAAATAAGTTTTGTACATTTTTATCGAGAGTAAAAATGAATCACCTCCACACTATTAGCCAAGTCTATTATAAACCAATCGAACTTTACTTTGGATATAATATCATGGGTAAATCAGTCGGGAAAATATCAGTTTTTAAGATTGGTAGAGTATAAGATTCTCTCATTCACATTGTGTAATGTGTATGTATGTAACATTCATGATAAGAGATAATCATCACCCGTTATGTAACACTTATGATAAGAGATAATGATGATCAGTATTACTTACCACAGATAGAGAGTGAGATGGGTGTAGAGAGAAGAGACTCTGGTAACCTTGGTAACGGGGTCTACTTCAGCTCTTCTTTGGAGTGAGTTTCAAAAGGGGGGGGGGGGGGGGGGGGGGGGCGCCAACAGGCAACGTTACGCCACTGTTTCATTCTCCTTTTTAAATACTTTCCATTAAGATAACTCTTGATTACTTTTTACTTATGATTATTGATAATTTGTGCTCATGATCATAACTTGTTAACTTATATTAGTTTAGGAGACGCATCAATACAAATTTAGCAGCAGTTAAAAATTGATATTTCTTGTTCTTTTTAGTAATCAACTCTGTTATCATTCAGAGACTGTGCTAAATACCTAAACAAAGAAAACAACGCTATCTTTAAATGTAAAGTGTGCGTTGGAGAAGTATTTGAGACGACAGTATCTATGCGTGATGTAATACGGGCCCCGCCAAGATATGATTCCATTCTTGGAGTGCCGAAATCTGGTAGTTATTATTTCAACAAAGTTTAATGTTTTCAAAGTTAGATATCTGAGATATCTGCTTTGAGTGTTGAATAAGTAATGAGCGTACTACTATATTGCGAATTTGATGTGGTTAAACAATTTCTGCTGCTGCACAACGTACAAAACTCCAATTATTTTCAGGACAGCACAAAAATGTGTAGTATTCTAATTTAACTTTAATATCGCAGGAAATCGGCCAACCTCCGCTTTCGACACGGCCGAATATTGCATTTTTGACATGACTGCTATTGAGATTGTAGAACTGATAGCTTGTGATATTCCTCTAAACGAATTAAACAAGAACAAAGACTTTGCTGATGAGAATAATGTACAATCCTTCCATAACCGGGTCAGTTTGTTACGTTAAGTATTTATTAATTTATTGTGTTTATTTTAATAAATTTTATACGTTTTTTAAAAATGTAGATTAAAATACTCAGTACTCACTCACAGAGTCTGATTTTTCGTTATTCAAGTATTAGTGATATATCTTTAACACCAATACCATGATGGAACTACACTGAGCATGCTAATTGATTTAGAGCATGGTAATCGATTTATTTTATATTTCATAAATAAAATATAAAATACAATACAATAACATCATAACATCCGTTTACATTGTACAACGATACAACCTCAGATACTACATCCGGTATACAATCTAAACAATGTTGAATGTAACTATGTAAATAAAATATTTGCCCCATTTTATTCTACAATTCCAGGACGCCTCTGACTTCAACATTCAAGAAATCTTTGACGGCTCCTGCGTGTCCCGTCCTAAAGTTGGTCTCCTAGTTGGTGGAAAAGAAGCCTCACTCTCCGGTTCAATCCATGTTTACAGCGAGCTGACTGATCTAGCAGCACGTGTCACAATTGTACAATCCTACGAGAGTAACGAGAAGTCGGTGAAAGAAGCAAAGTACCTGTTTCCCATCACAGATAGCTCGGCAGTGTGCGGGTTTGAAGCTTATATTGGTAATAAACATGTGGTGGGAAAGGTTAAGAGAAAGGAGGAAGCAAGGAGGGAATATAGGAACGCGGTAAAGGCAGGTCATGGAGCGTATCTGATGGAACAAGAGAAACCTGACCTGTTCTCCGTCGCGCTGGGCAATGTGCCAGCTGGTCCGGTCACTATTCACATCAAGATATTGTACGTGACTGAGCTTGTTATAGAGGATACGGAGATAGTGTTCAGTGTACCCGCTCTGACTCAAGGAGGGACTGATAACAAGTTAACTCAGGTCACCACGGATACCACGCTGGTCACGTGTCAGGCCACACCCATCAACTTTCATGCTTCTCTTGCCATGCCTTTTGATATTGTCAAGGTTTACTCTCCAGGACGAACTGTGCAGGTGAAGAAAACAGACACCACCTGTTCGGTAAAATGGGAAGGAGTTCTATCTGAGGAGCTTTCTCTAAGAGTCTCCCTGGCTGAGATCCATCGGCCGAGGATGTGGGTGGAACAAAACGGGAGCAGCGAGGCTGCCATGCTCACATTCTACCCGGATATTCAGTTCTCTGAGGGTGTTAAGATGATTAGTTTGGTTATTGATTGTTCTCGTAGTTTAGAGGGGTCCTGGGTTGATGTGATCAAGTTAGCGCTGTGTTTCTTGGAGCGGTTACCAGAGGGGTGTGTCTTCAACGTTTACAAGGTTGGGGCGCTTTTTGTGGAGTTATTTCCCTATCATGCTGTCTCTACCCAGCAAAATAGGGATATTGCCAAGGAATTTATTTCTGATCTAAAACCTACCGAGTCATCTGCCAATGTGTACAAGATTCTTAGTGCATACCTTGCCATGAAACCAAAGATCCCGGGACAGTTTATGAACAGTTTTATACTAATCAGCGATGGCTTGGTGACAAACCCAAAACTCACCCTGGAAACAGCACGGCAGTTCAACTATTCAGATAGGATATTAGCAGCAGCTATCACCACTGGAGGAAATAAACATTTCATGCAAAACCTCGGTCAAGTCTCTGGTGGTTCATTTGAATTGTTTGATGGTAATGCCAAACGAAAGTGGCCAACCAGCATTGCTAAATTCCTGAAAATCTGTACTGAACCGGGTCTAACAAAAGTTGACTTGAGATGGAAAGTATTTGGTATGAACAGAGATGAAATAGAGCAAGCACCAGTGTCAATATCCTCGCTTTTCAACAAAACCAGACAGACAATGTACGGCTTCGTCCCTAACTGCCGTGCTGCAACACTGCTAGCTTACATTGGGGAACAGGAGCTGGAGACTCTGGTCAGTTGTGCCGATCTAAATGTTACCAAAGGAGACACACTGCACAAACTCACTGCAAATGCCTTGATAGAGGATTACTTCAAGGGGAATCTCAGGGAGGATCAGATGGAACACGAGGCTCACTTTAGGAAGAGAAAAGAAGCAATAACTGAACTTTCTATTTCACATTCCATACTGTGTCCACTTACCAGCTTCATTGCTGTTGAAGAGAGAGAAGAGGGTGAGGTGAGAGAGGAAACGATTGATATTGAGGAGATACTGGCGACTTTGAGACAAGATAAACTGGCTTATATGGCTTGGGAAGACCATTCTGATGTTGGGTATCATGAGGATGATATAACGATGATTGAGACACGCGCACGTAATAAGAAAGTTATTCCGGCACTGAGTAACATCGATAAATACGGATGGGCAAGTTCGGATGTTAAATTACTTCCTTACTTGGCATTTATTGCAGCAGAGGATGGAAAACATGAGCCTATGTCTTTTCTCCTGTCCGAAACTTTATCGGATATTGCCAGATCTGTGGCTGATACAAGAGGCATCTCTCCCAGCCACATTGTTTTCCCTGTTAAGGACCAATACAAAACCCTAGCTGAGCTGAATTACCGATCACTTTCAAATATAACTTATCGTGTAAAAGATATCCCTCTCACTGTCACTATAAGATCAGACGCTACAGAAACACCTATTATCATCGCATCAAGAGGTTCTGCTACGATCAGAGAAATAAAAGAAAAAATAAATGAGCAACGTCTAGATAACAAAATCCCTGTAGAATATCAGCGCCTTCGCTTAACAGGGAAAGACTTGGAAGATGACAGCACTCTAGATGATTACAAAGTGACAGAAGGTTGCACCTTGTCCATGGAGAGTAAACTAGGACCATATCGTGGGAATCCAAGTAACGCTAACTTACAAGTCAGTACATTAACTGGTACTGGAACCAAATTCCTCGTAATTGTAAACACTGGGTTTTCAGCCTTGCATCTAAAATCAAAAATTGAGTCCATAACTGGAACCCTCGCTTCAGATCAAAGATTAATCTTTGATGGAAGGCAGCTGGATGATAACGTACCGTTATTTCACTACGGTATCAAGGAGGGAAGTGTTATATTCCAGGTTCCAACGTTGAGGGGAGGTGGTGGCCCTGTACCATCTAAACAGCCTGTACAAGCAGGTGGTGGTGCACTTTATGTCAAAACGTTAACCGGCAAAACTGTTACATTGGACTCAGAGAGCAGTATGACGGTAGAGGAATTGAAACAATCCATCCAGGACAAAGAAGGGATACCCCCAGATCAACAGAGACTCATCTTTGCAGGAAAACAACTTGAGGATGGGAGGACTCTATCTGATTACAACATATCAAAGGAGAGTACCCTGCACCTGGTGTTGAGACTGAGAGGCGGGCCCGGTCCGGAACAGAGTGTACAACAAAAGAGTGTGGGATCTGCAAAATCTCTGCTGGTTACTGGTGATATCAGTTCTGTCGAATCAAGTGCAGAGGAAGGAGAGGAGGAGGAGGAGGAGGAGGAGGAGAAGGAGGAGGAGGAGGAAGAGGAGGAGGAGGAGGAGGAGGAGGAGAAGGAGAAGGAGAGGGAGTCTGGGACAGAGGACTATGAGTCATATCGTGAAATGCTTTGCTATGGTACAGCCTCTGGTACGTCATTTTCTGGAATCTGTGCTGGATCTGTTGATGCATATGATAACTCATCTGAAACTTATAGTGTAGAGATGAAATTTGCTCGAGAATTGTTTGATAAAACTCCTTCCGAAGAAGAAACAGGGTATTCACTGTTTGATGATAATACCAGTTCTTCATCTAATACAGGAACTCTGCCGTTAAAAATGTATTCATGTAGTGAATTATCTAGTGATTCATCTAATGAATCATCTAATGAATCATCTAGTGAATCATCTAGTGAATCATCTAGTGAATCATCTAGTGAATCATCTAGTGAATCATCTAGTGAATTAGCTTCGTTGATAGAACCTGCTAAACCCTCCTACAAACCTACTTGTTTTGATGTTAAACCTGTCAGTCTTGGTGCAGCTCCAGTGTACAGGACTGGAGGAGGAGGGGGAAGAGTGAGAGGAGGAGGAGGAGGAGGAGGGAGAGGAGGAGGAATGGGAGGAGTATCGAGTATTAAACGGTTAAGTTGTGAGATGGATGAAATCAGATGTGATTTAGTTTCGAGACCCGAATTTATGATTTCTGATCGTTTCGATGATGATGATGATGATGATGATGATGTCATGTTTAATGATTTTTCGGAAATAAAAGCAAAGAAAAAGATGAAGAAAAAATCTCCTGAGCAGTGCTTTGATTTACTCCTCCTTGATGTCTCCCCACTTTCATTATCAATTGAAGACAGCAGTCACGTGAGCATTCCTATAGTGCCCCGAAACTCCAGTATCCCCAACCGGAAATCACTAGACTGTATTACAACCCATGATTATCAAACCAGCGTAAAAGTCGCTCTCTACGAAGGGGAACGGAGGAGAGTTAAGGATAATATGTATCTTGGAGAGATTGTGATATCTGACATTCCACCAGATCTGCAAGGTAGGTTTTACCCCTGTTTATCTTTTACCTGATGAGCCATAAATCAAGCTACAAGACAGGGAATACGTTTTCGTAGAGTATCAGAAACTGATTAAGTCTAGACAATCCTATGTAATGGGTTCTTTAATATGCTTTTATATGAGCTCGTAATTTTTCCATCAACGGCTGTGCTAAAATTATTAACTTAATTAACTGAAAATTACTATTACACATTAAGCTTCTTCATCATGATTTTTATTATTAGGGGTCGTTCACATATTACGTAATTTACGTACTTTTTGTACAATTTTTAACCCCCCCCCTCCCTCCCCCCTCCGTAATCAGTTTACACATAGCTACTGTGTAAAAATTACAATAATGTAATCATTTAGAAACTCCTCCTCGGTTGATTACGTAAAATGTGAACGACCCCTTACTGAAAATGATTAGGAGCAAATTCTGCAATTGAGATGACATTTACGCTTTTCTAATATTTTATACGTTTCAATTAAATTGTAACTAAAATCAACGTTAGGGTCGGTCAAGATAAAAGTCACTGTGGAGATAGATGCAACTTCAATGATTCATCTTAAAGTGAAAATTGGCGATGAGGAGGAAATGAGGTCTATGTACAATTCTGGACGGCTGAGTTCAGAACAGATAGAGAAGTCTATAAAAGACGCGAAGGATGATTTTCGTGATGGCAAACTAAACATTCCAGCTGAGATTTCCTTACCCGTAAGTGGCAATTTGTATATTTCGTATTCAGTTATACACATATAGTACAATTTGAGTTTAAAGTTAATGCAAATATCGTCATCTTTCAGTGCTTTCCAACACGAGGCAGAACAATGCTATATATAGCATTGTATCATCAGTAATACATTGCTAAACACCAAGCGGATGTGTTTTGGTTTATGGGACATTTGACTCAGTCGCTATTTAGATATTGTGTGTTTGTAACGCGCATAGATTGGAAGATATGTAGCATGGTACCTACAGCAGCGACAAATCATGCCAGCGATTATATTATAAATCAAAAGGCTTGCATATAATGAACATATTGACACGGGTGCAGAGTTGAGTCTGTACGGAACCTAGTAGTTTCAGATCCTTGTTTAACTTGCCGTACATCAAGGTCATCCACTACTTTAGCCCGGCGAGGCACATAACTCCCTCTACAACTCCATGACAAATGTTTCATATATACTAGCCGAGTTCACAAGATATATCCTTGTGTTTGAGAAGAGCTCGTTAGAACTGCTTCCTTTCCCTTTATATTATTTAAATTATATTGAAATATATTTAAATTATATTGAGAACGCGCGTGCCGACGTAATTAAATTTCTTGTGCGTGCATTCAGTACGTTTGTGTACATTATTCATATCAGTGTGTTTCGTCCAAAGTTAACTGGCCATATTGCTAAGTTATAATCAGTCATACTTGGTTCAGGATTGTAACACAACTTTTAATTTCAGGCTCCGGATATCAATACTTTCCAGAACACTGCGTAAGTTAAAAGCTACTGCACAATGTACTTGTAGTAGAGTCTGTATTGATTATCTGATATGTTTTCTCCTGTGTTCTGTTATGTAAATGAGTAATAGGTTTTTTCTAGGTTTTCATTTGTTGTTACTCATTGAACCTATCTTTAATTCATAGCTTTAAAAATATCTAATTTCAGTGACAAAAAAAGGATCGCCCCTACTTTAGAGAATTTGATATCTTGTTATCGCAACGTAAGAATACAAAGGATGTTCCACAACTAAAACAACCTTGAGGAAAATGATAATATTATCAACTTGAACTTCACCTAGATAGTTAAAATTATCAGTTTCTTTCCCATAGATAAGATGATTTAGAAAATTACTAAGATTGTGTAAAAGAGATACATTTTGTTTTAATTTGGTGGGGATTCTGGTGGGAATGTGTCAGGTGAAACATAGTAAGAGTGATTCTGGCGTTTGATTGGTCAATAGTGGAAGCAGATTAGTTTATTGCAGCCACTTTTTTAAATATGCTTGACCTCCTAGGTCAACTAGAATGCACATAATGATGATAATTATGATATCAGATATACCTTATATATACTAGCAGGAACCCGTATAACCCTAAAATGGTGTCAAGACTCAAGAGGCTAAAATAATTATTACCTATTTAATTCGCGTTTTTGACACCACTTGGGGGTCCAAATTTTGGGCTCTAAAACTCCTATTCTTGGCAAATTTTTTTTTCATGCTGATTTGTAGGCCATTAAAGCATTTGACCCAGGCAAAAAAGTTTCAGTTTTATATCTTTTACGGTTTTTGCGGAAAGTCGCGTTAAAGGTGATGCCGTGGTGTCAGTAAAATGGCACGGAACCATATATATCGTCTCGCTTTATATATAGTAAGATTTGATCACTGAAACTTGCACTTACAGGGTTACGAAAGACTAGTTGCTGTTTCATCTTTCTCATGGTAAGCACTGTAAATTGTAAACGCCAATTTGCTGTTATTTTGGCCCACTAAGACAAAAGATATTATTATCTTTTTCATATTGAGGTGAGCTCGTACCTGTTATGTGGGGTCCCAATTCCCTCATATACTGCGTTTTAAAAAAACCTTACTTACCACCAACTATCAGTGACAGCTTTTGTGATTTAAATTTAACGTTTCAGTACTGAAGTTGATTTGAACGTTACGATGTACGAAAGCTGGGTCTCCTCTTTACGTCAGTTTCCTCAAACAATTGACCACATAATGGAATACAGATATAAGGTACCGTAAGTATTGAGAGCTTCCTCCCTATATTACATATGACATCAGGGATCATCTTTAAGGTCAACAAATACACCTCACATCCCAACCAGAATCTACGTCTATTAGCACAATAAACTCTTAGGTTTGCGTCGAAAATTCGAACGGTGAACCATCTATCCCCGATGTCATGAAGATAGTACAGAAGTTGCTGGTCACTGGTGGAATAAGAAGTCTTGGAACTGATCTGCAGACTAAAACCGCCTCCCATCTCATGGATTTGTTAACCTTGATAAGATCCATGGAAAGGACCAAGGTGAATTTTTGTTTTGTTTGGTTCTTAATTTATAGCTTTGACTTTAATTTGGGGATGATTGTTTTTCGAATGAGTATTCAGTATAAAATTAAAAATGTAAATACAGTATAACCCCGATTTACCGCGCCCCGATTTACCGCAAACCCCGATATTCCGCAGCCACCTCCCCCACCTAACTGTAACATGTATAATGTAAAGAAACAAAACCCCGATTTACCGCGAATGTTTCCTTTCCCCAACCTCCGCGGTAATTGAAATTCGGGGTTTTACTGCATAATACTGATTGTATTACAATTATTAATAAATAGTCCTGATTTTTCAGCGAAGGAATTGACATTGTAACAGTTAACATTGCACCCTCACAGAAATTTTATTCTCTCGAACGTCCCAAAAGTCGTTCACATATTACGTAATCAGCTGAGGGGGGGGGTTTCCGAATGATTACGCTAGTGCAATTTTGACACAATAGCTATGTGTAAAACTGATTACGGACAGGGGGGGGGGAATGTTCTAAAAAAATGATTACGTAATATGTGAACGACCCCAAAGTTCCCTATCCCCCCACATTTACAAAAATATTAATGGACAACATTTCAGCGTACTGAAAATCTAATGAAGTCACTATTCGAACCTAGTGATATTCTTAGAAGACTCGAGATTTCAAATACTGTAGCGTCACTCTTTCTCACACTTTCTGCAGTGTTTGGAATTGCAACAAATGATAACACTATCAATCACGAGGTTTGTTCATTGATTACATTTTTACTTAAGCATGTTATCAGTGTTGTTGATTGCCAAGTTTTGTGTTGAGGATTGATGAAAATACAAATTGATTAACAAACAAAACTTTATTTATTTGTTATTTATTATTATTTATTTATTTATTAACGTGCAAAACTTGATGTAATTAGTTCATTTTTCAGATTCTGAGGAACCTCGGTGATCTCCACCTAGCGACCGAGTTAAAGATATTTTCGGAATCTCATCACGTCACCCCTCCACCTTCTGTCTGTGTTGTTTCCGATTTAGATTGATTTTTCTTGAGTATTCGGTTATTGGTATGTGTACTGAGAACATAATTTTTTAGCGGTTGCAAAATTATATTTTTTACAATTATTGTTTTTATTTACATAGCAATTGTGATTTGTATGTATATGTATTATGTTAAGTTTAATAGAGCGTGTTTGATTAATAGCGATGTTAGATTTAATTGATAAAACTCAGCCGAAGCAATGCTGCAGTTGCTTAAAATTAAATACTTTCGCTCGATATTGGTTAATTTTAAGCTAAAGATTAAAAGTCTAAATTATTATCTGAACAGTTACGTTCACACATTTGGACTTGTGTTACATACAATAAGTATAACTTTTAGACTCTAGTGTCCAGACTAAATAAGATTTTTATCGACCTAAAATGGTTTGGGAATATTTTGAACATTTTATATATAACATGTTAATGTTATGTATGATATTTTCTTGTCACTTAAGCTTTGACTTCGAAGTTCGACGCATCAAATACTTTATTATCTTAAATTGTATTTCAATTCTAAAACGACTCTTGATAGATAAATTGCTCACCATACCGTACAATTGTACTACTTCAGATAAATCTTTGGAAACATGATAACATGACTGAGAAAAACATTTAAACCATGTACTATTATAAACCTGAGTACTATTATATTCATTCGGTCCCTATTTCTCTAAAAAATGACCCAGCTGCACGGAGGGCGAAAGTTGTGGGTATCCGGCCTGGTTTATAAATGTGAACCTTGAGTACGAATATCTTGACTTCCTTTTTAAGTTAGAAACTCTACAGGAAATATGATCATAGTTTGTTACATTGTGATATTGTGGTAATTAATGAGGGCTCTGTGCTCTGACCATCAGAGATTCCACAGTGTTACAGTGGTTTTCACGTGGAGATATTTGCTGCGGTAATTCCACTCAGAGGACGTTCGCATATTACGTAATCAGCTTTTTTCATTTATTTTCGTAGATCATACTTTAGAGCTCTGTGTTCTGACCACCAGGTGCTCTGACCACCGGAGATCACACTCTCTCTGACGGAGAGAATTGTCAGAACGCTATTTTCGGCGGTAACTCCATCAGTTGTTGTTCACATATTACGTAATCAATTTTTTGCATTTTATATATATCTAAGGTCCTTACACAATCAAATGCATATCATTAACTTCAAGTGCCCTACCAACAAGTTGGTCAAGAAGCTTCAGCTTGAACTAATCCTCTGATCACCATCAGAACGGACCCGGTAATATTTAGGAACTTAGAGAATCTGATCAGTTCAGCTCGGGCCCCTGTTCCTCTAATGATTTGAAATTGAACAAATGTGGAGCCTCACCGAACTTATTTAAGACGCTCATTTGGCCCTAACTTAATCTTGAAACTAATTTATTGCGGTAGTCCTCGAAATACGATTACGAAGCTTTCAACTTGTTTTGTAATGTGGACAGAAGGTCCGTAAATCCGATTTCACGAATGGGAACTTTATTCTCGGAAGGACTAGATACTATTTGGTCAGAAGGGTACCCGGAACTTTTATCCATTGCTATTTGTACTTTTTAATTTTGATTCGTGATATTGATCAGAACTCAGATGATGAAAGTATATTTTATTGGAGGACTTCGACGCGCCGCGCAAACTAGCATTCTTGCTTCTTGCAGAGCAACGATCTGGAAAGGTTGACATCGTTAATCAATATATTTTACTGCACTCTTTATTCGATAATCATCTGTTTGAGCTTCATTAGTCCAACACTCCTGAAGCACTGGTCAAAAATATTTGTGTTTCATCGACTTCGTCTGAATTTAAATGAAGCAGACTGTGTAAAAACTAAAACTTGATCAAGTTCACAATCACAAGTTCTTGATATAATTACTTTTATATTACTCTATAGCATTTTGTTGAAAATGTTGTCATGACCAAACTTTTTCCTTTCGTTACACATTTCCACTCAATCTAATTTGGAGACATGAGAGATTTTTTTGTGATTCAGTCTAGAAATTTCCGTTTGAGAAATGGACAAGATCATTTTAAAATAAACTAAACATAATTCGGTTGGGTTTCTACTTTTAGTGGTTTCGGGGAGAGTCTGAGCAGCAAACTCGGTCAGAAAATAATTCACAGAGTCAGCCAGTTTTTAATTAAACTTTTAGAGTAAAATAATAGCTAACGCGTGGTTAAATCTTGGCCAGAGAAAAGTATGAATGGGTAGGCCACAGCATTAAGGGCTTTAAGGCATTTACACCAGTGAAATTGGAGGACGGACCGAAACAGTGGGGCAGCACGGGAATAGGGTGGCGTTTAAATTAATGACGGGAGGTCAGGTAATATCATTAGTAAGTTAAGAATAGAATTTTAGTTCAGATTCATAATCATAAATCATTACCATTTGTTATCCATAACCCCATTAATGATATGTCCATTAAGTCGACAATTCATGCAGAAACCACTAATAATAATATCTAGAATTTCTAGAACCATTGGAAACCGCAGTGAATTCAAAATGTGCCTTTTACCATTTTTGTCCATGTCATCAATAAGTTCATTTTATTTTTAATAGACCCATTGGCGGTACCACATTGAAGCCACCTGGACCAGTGTTACAGCCTCTGAAAGCAGATCGAATCATTGCCGCTAACATTTGTCAAAGCTCCCGGCCTTTGAAATGACGTTCTTGATTATGGTAATAGAACTTCTGCGTTAATCGAGTTGGGATTGTGATCGAAAATATTTCAATAAAAACTCATTAAATCGAGGCAGTTCCCGTCCTCTTGACAAAAAAAGCACTTGGTGAACTGTTTGCATAGAATCCGAGTAGGGTATTGCTAAAGATTGGAAACGTATACTGTAAAGTTGCAGACACAGTTAGACTTGGTACACTTGAAACTGGCATCTCTGATGTGTAATGACCTCCTATAATATGATAATCTGAAATAGTTAATGATGATCCGGTAATAATTGAAATGGTTAGCGGAGCTATCAGCTAATGCATTAGCTGATTCTATTGACTGGAACCAATCGTGTTGTACACTGATTTTAAATAATTTTGTCTTCTGAGGTGATTTACTAATTTTGTCTGCAATTATGTGTATTATCAGTAAACACTAATTAAAGCTCCTTCAAGCTATAATTATCAGTAACATTTATTTTTATTGCACCGTTCCACACTCCCGGATAGTCACAATTTCCGTTTTACATTATTTTCCTCCACCGTACCCGACCGTTCTGATTAACTTTCTTTTCTTTTTGTCTTCCAATAGTTCGTTTCCACTAGTTTCGCAATTTTGGTATTAGTTACTATTCTTAATAAATTACGGTTGTCTAAGGTAAGTTATAGAACTCCTGACCAAACGAGTGCCGAAGGCACGAGTTTTTTCGGAAGTTCTATAAATTGCTTATGGTACGGCACAAGACGACATGCAGTCTTGGGAACATTTTCCGTCCAAAATTTTGAAATTTAGTGCATTTTAACCGTGTCAAATTGGCAAAAAACTGTACCTACTTCCGACACAAAGTGTTCATTGTCCAATGAGCATCCTGCCATGCTCAATGCTGCTACCATTGTGCTACTCTCGTGGTTGCGGCCACATGACAGCATACCAAACTCCTATTGGACAGCGCATTTCTGTCACGTGACGATTTGGTTGTTGATACTTATAGCTTTATAGAGTACTGTATTTCAGAAATAGCATTTTTGGAATACTGTATGTTATAAAATGTTAAATTTATGTTAAATTCCTTTATGAAATTGTAATCCCTTTGCGATCTACTCTTCTAATTTCCAACGATAACATTGATATTTCAAGCTTGACTCAACCCTTGCTGTTCTCTCAAACTATAAGGATGTGAATTGTGAATCTAATCTTGCTTGAGCATGAAACCCAGCCCTTCTCGCTGGTTAATGTAGGTCACGTTATCTATCAAGTGACTGTACCTCGTGACTGCGTCACTCGGTTACCACGTGCCCGACAAACTGGTGCCGTACCATAAGTTCCGGAGTTTTGCGTTTGATTAAGAACAGACAAGCCAGTCTTGACCTTTAGCGAGCCTATTTTTACCATTTGTGTCATCAAAATGTGTTATTCTCCATCGGTGAAGGGGTTTACTCGATTGATACCTTTTAACCTATCTTGATCTAGTTTTACAAAATTTGAATCCTCTTCAGCGAAAAATGAAGTCGTCTTGTACCCTTTGTCCTTAGATTTGACACTGGACATTGAACCAAAACGAATGCTCAATTTAACTTCAGTTTGACAGGGCAGATGGGTTTTCTGAAAAAGCTGAAGGAGTCCACAGCAAACAAGAGAGCTTTACTTGTCATTACCGTACTTATATTGGTGCTGGTGATAGTAGTTATTTCAGTTGTGGTTACCACTGTTGGTAAAACTAAAAGTGAACCATCCTATGGAACACCTTGGGAAAATCCCAGGTTATTGTGACCACATGTTATTTAATTTTATTATTGTTGATTTATCAATTTACAAATATAGTGGCCACTCGAGCACAGATCAACTCCAATCATATTCCGAAAGGTCCCTTACCTTCATTTGGCACAATTTTGAACGAAATTTATTTCGGAGGTCCGGACTTTTTTATATTGATTTAGGTTGTAGAACATTGAATATGAAAGCCAATAAAATATTGAAAATCAGATATATACAACTGAGGACAAACCATTAACTGCAAACTAAATTGAGTATTGTTTTAAACTTCTTTCTCCAAGTCTACTAAGTAATATCACTGCAAACCTCACAGGTTACGGACGGACGTGAAACCTAAGCATTACAACATTACGCTCCAAATAGACGTGACACATGAGACTTTCTCGGGGAAAGAAACTATCGAGGTAGAAATTGTTTTAGATTAAAAGAGCTTATCCATTCACTTTGATGCAGAATTCAAATGAATGAATGAAATTGATCCTTTCTCCCAAAGAAAGAAAGAATGTCCAGATATTTGGATTGAAGAGGAGTATTAGAGCTGACAGCTTGTAACCGCTACCTCAGATAGACATCACAGCAGCCAACATCTCTACGATAGTACTGCACGCCAATAAGATATTGATTCCTCTAGACTCCTCCTACCTGAGATTGTACTACAAGACTGTAGGTTCAGAAGATGAAAAGGAACATGATATAAAGATTAAGCGTCATCATCCTTTTACAGAGAACAGCTATTACATCATTTATCTGGAGTAAGAAAATTTAGAACAAGAGATCATTTTATTTTGATATTTGAAATATCAAGCTGCGAACCTAAAAGTTTATCAACATGATTACAAGTACAATGCTACATATATAACGAGGTGTTATTACTTCAGGGAGTATCTAAAGCCGGAGGAAGGAAACAGTTATTTCCTAGACATAGATTGGAGTGGAGAGTTGAAGTACAAATTATCAGGACTTTATCTTAGCAACTATATTGAGAAGGATGTTGTTAGAAAAACTGTGTCCTCGCAGTTCCAGGTAAATATTGGTTTACTAGGTTCCAGGTAAATATTGGTGTACTAGGTTCCAGGTAAATATTGGTGTACTAGGTTCCAGGTAAATGTTGGTGTACTAGGTTCCAGGTAAATATTGGTGTACTAGGTTCCAGGTAAATGTTGGTGTACTAGGTTCCAGGTAAATATTGGTGTACTAGGTTCCAGGTAAATATTGGTGTACTAGGTTCCAGGTAAATATTGGTGTACTAGGTTCCAGGTAAATGTTGGCGTACTAGGTTCCAGGTAAATGTTGGTGTACTAGGTTCCAGGTAAATATTGGTGTACTAGGTTCCAGGTAAATATTGGTGTACTAGGTTCCAGGTAAATGTTGGTGTACTAGGTTCCAGGTAAATGTTGGTGTACTAGGTTCCAGGTAAATGTTGGTGTACTAGGTTCCAGGTAAATATTGGTGTACTAGGTTCCAGGTAAATATTGGTGTACTAGGTTCCAGGTAAATATTGGTGTACTAGGTTCCAGGTAAATGTTGGTGTACTAGGTTCCAGGTAAATGTTGGTGTACTAGGTTCCAGGTAAATATTGGTGTACTAAGTTCCAGGTAAATATTGGTGTACTAGGTTCCAGGTAAATGTTGGTGTACTAGGTTCCAGGTAAATATTGGTGTACTAGGTTCCAGGTAAATGTTGGTGTACTAAGTTCCAGGTAAATATTGGTGTACTAGGTTCCAGGTAAATGTTGGTGTACTAGGTTCCAGGTAAATATTGGTGTACTAGGTTCCAGGTAAATGTTGGTGTACTAGGTTCCAGGTAAATATTGGTGTACTAGGTTCCAGGTAAATGTTGGTGTACTAGGTTCCAGGTAAATATTGGTGTACTAGGTTCCAGGTAAATGTTGGTGTACTAGGTTCCAGGTAAATGTTGGTGTACTAGGTTCCAGGTAAATATTGGTGTACTAGGTTCAAGGTAAATGTTGGTGTACTAGGTTCCAGGTAAATGTTGGTGTACTAGGTTCCAGGTAAATGTTGGTGTACTAGGTTCCAGGTAAATGTTGGTGTACTAGGTTCCAGGTAAATGTTGGTGTACTAGGTTCCAGGTAAATGTTGGTGTACTAGCTTACTAGGTTCGTCCGTTTTGGTAAAAGAGACAACATTTAATAATATGCCATCGTTTAATAAAATATGTGGTCAAAAATTGTAAAGTATTGAGGAAGATATCATCTTTTTATATTGGAAAACTATTTCAGCCCGTATCAGCACGAGAGGCATTTCCTTGTTTTGACGAACCCGAATTCAAAGCAACCTTCGACATGACTATAATTGCTGAGAAAAACTACTCCTTCGTTACCTGGAACACAGAACAGATCGGAGATACGATTACAAAAACAAAAGGCGGAAGAGACTGGCAAACACTGAAGTTTGCGAGATCCCCCATCATGTCCACTTATGTGATGGCATTCGTCGTTGCTAATTATAACTGTGAAGAAAAGACTACTCAAAGTAACCTTGGTGACAAAAAGAATATTTTGCTGAGGGTATGTGGACGACCCTCCCTGATAAACAATGGTTATGCCACATATGCTTTGGAAACAGGGGAAACGATTTTGAAATATTTTGAAACTTATTTCAATCAGCCTTATCCGCTGAGCAAATGTGATCATGTGGGGATATCGGACTTTGAGGCTGGAGCCATGGAGAACTGGGGACTCATTATCTATCGAGAAGAATACCTTTTGTTCAACCCGGAAAACGATCCAACTAAGTCGAAGGGGCAGGTGAATTTAGTGGTGAGCCATGAGTTAGCACATATGTGGTTCGGGAACTTGGTCACGATGGAGTGGTGGAACGACATTTGGCTGAATGAGGGGTTTGCAACCTACGTTCAGAGTCTAGGTACGGAGGACAGTACGGATTATGTTAACGACCCGTTCTTGATGAATGAGTGGCGCGTCACCTCGATGTCTCAGGATAGCTACCTTTCCTCTCGTCCTGCCTCGGTCATTGTCACGGATCCGGGAAATGTGCACCATCTCTTTGATGCCATAGCGTACAACAAGGGGGCTTCTCTTCTCCGTCAAATGAACATGGTGATGGATGATACGGCAGGTGACAACGAGAAAGATACAAGCTTCCAGGACGGAGTGAAGGAATATCTTGTTGAGAACAAATATTCCAACGCGGATCAATCCCAGCTGTACGGGACGCTCGACAAGTTCTTTACATCCAAATCTGTTCCAAAAGTAACCGTGGAACAGATCATGAAAACCTGGACTCTTCAGATGAACTTCCCAGTGGTGACTGTCGAACAGTATGACAATGACAACCTGATTCTGTCTCAAAGAAGGTTTCTGATAGCAGATGAAGGCCAGAGCGAGGGATCCCAAACATCACCCTACGCTTACCAATGGTATGTTCCGATCAAGTATAAGACTCACATAGAAAATGCTGTAGAGCCAGAACTTTCTAGTTTGAAGTGGATCCGTCCGAATGGACACCTTGTCACGCCAATTGCTGCAGAAGAGAGCATTTTTGTAAATTGGGACGGGAATGGATTTTACGTGACATCGTACAGCTTGAAATTGTGGAAGAAGCTATTGACAGATCGCACTTCACTGAAGCTAAGTTCTCGAGAGATGCAAGTGCTGTTGTACGACACGTACCTGCTAGTAAATGCAGGTTACTACCCCTTATCCCGGCAACTAGAACTGCTCGGAATATTCGCAGCAAACGAGGATTACAATGTGTTGAGGGAGGCGTTCCGGCAGATTGGCATGATTTCAAGTCTTATAAAGATGGAGGAAGGTTTACTCGAGACTTGGAAAGGGAAATGGAAAGATGCATCGGCAGTACAGTACAATAAGGCTAACGCTTTAAAGAATGATGTTGAATCTGATGGTGAAAGTGAAGTAGATTATGTTAAACAATTAAGGAAGAGTTTGACTATGGATCTATGTTTGACGTATAATGATAACACAGATGTTGACGTTCTGTGTGTGAAGGCAGCTAAAAAGATTTGGGAAGAACGACACGGAGAAACTACGAAAATAGGACCCGATGATAAGGCGCCTGTTTACAGCTACGCTGCGAGGGCTTCCAGTGAGGATTGGGATGCACTTTGGAAAATGTATGTTGATCCTTTATCAACAGCGGCGGAGAAGAAGCTGCTCGCCACAGCTATGGCTCAAACAGAGGATATAGAAACCGTTAAAAAGTACATTAGTTACTGCATGAACGATACCATAGTAAGGAAATCCAACGGGCTCTCCATCATGGGCCGGTACATTGCCACAGCTAACAGAGTCAGTGCCACAGTCTCCCTGGACTACATGCTTAAAAACTGGCCGGCTGTCTACGAGCACTTCCAGACGTTAGGATTGGAATGTCCCAAATACATCAAGACAGTGATATCTCAGATAACGTCTGCGGAGGATCTGCAGAAGGTGAAGGATAAGTTTGAGGACCCAGAGACGGGCTACATGAATGATGTGATAAAGGCTGATTATGAGTCTGCGATGGACACTGCTAGGAACAACATTCAGTGGTTGGAGAAGAACAAAGATTCTCTAAATAAATAGTGTATAGCCATAGGTATTGGGTATTAGGTAAGGTCTTTTTCCAAGTAAGGATCGATGACAGTACTGAAACCAACCATATTTCTATTTTACGTAGAAAGTGAACTCTGTAAATACGATGTAAAGAACCATGTTCTGTCATGCAGCTATCCGACTGTGTAAATGTAAAGTTGGCAATCGCACGAACATTAATGATTTAAGTACAGATAGTATAATTGATTTAACAGTTATCAGCTTTGACTTTCATGTCTGTAATTGTAATTCGTAATCAACTTTTTTACAATATTTATGTCAGTAACGTACAAAATATTTGCAGGCACTGTTGAGTGTTGGTATAATAATAATTGATCACGGCATAGAAAATAGCAAATTTTTCTACTAAGTTTTATTAAATGATCAAACCATCGTTTATGGCTTTTCCGAACTTCTGTTCATGAGAAAAATTCTGAAGAAGAAAAAACTAACAGATAAATCAATTTCGAGAAAAATTTAAGCACTCAGAGTCTGCGACTGAACAAACAATCTCCCAGCTAGAGAACAACTGTCAGTTGAACGTCCCTTACTGAAATTGTTCTGGAGTTCTTTGAATAATATTTTCTTGAAATCTGAGCTTCTTGCAACTTTGATGATTGGGTTGAGGACAGAAGTAACAAGAGAACACACAAGACCATTGCCATAGAAAAAATAATTGGCGTGGTATGGAAATCCATGTCTGACAAAGATAGAGTAGACGAACTGTACGATCACCAGAACAACTGCTACCTGGATACCAGCTGCCAGCATGATGATCGTGATACAACTGTGCACCCTTTCTAAACAGTTCGTAGACTTCTTTTTGTAACCAATCAGTTTCATCTGGTTGATTGATTTGTAAACCTCCTTCCCTGTTATAACCGCGCAAACACACCCAGCAACAGCAATGGACATCAGAATCCCTCCAAACGCAAGCTCAGGCCAATTATTGATTTTACCAGTTTCAGTGTCGAACAAGACAAGTTTGAGGCGGTTTGTACTGTAGAGGAATCTATCCCACGTCGTATTGTAGTAGAAGTTGATACCAACAATAACCAGAGCCAGGGAAATGAATCCGAGCATGGGGAACAGAACTGAGTACCTCTTGTGCATCACTTTCAGAGGATATTTAATAGCATAGACCCTGGCTGCAGTCATGAGAGTGGTGATACTAACACTAAGAAAGAGGATAAAGGCAAACACAGCTGAGTAAAATCTCTGACCTAGAGAGGCAGGTACTTGATGTGGCATTAGTGTTGGAGTCAGGAGTCCATAAGCCAGGTAGGGTATCAAGCAGGTTGTTGTTAAGAAGTCTATAGCATTGAGCATCTTGAAGATGAGAGCAGGAACTGTTGCTGGACGTGTACAGTGGAACCAGAATAATGCAGGGTTCAGCACCCCTGAGACTATGAAAGCGAGTATTATTATTACCGCGAAGAAGTAGTTGATCGGACCGTCATATCTGATGTCGCCCAGTATCTGGAGGGTTTCGTTGTTGTCTCCAATCACTTTATCATCACCAAATATCATCTTGTTACAGCACGGACATCAAACTAATCTGAATCATGTTCGGGTGAAAGGTTTTAGATTTACAACATAACCACAAAATAACTGATCAAATTACTGCGGAATTAAATCAAAGGATCCAACATAACCTGACTGATTTGTTTTTGACGGTCAAAGTCAACGATTTTTATTGACGGGCGCGGGCTGGCTACGCTTTAATGTGGCTAAAACATCTCGCAAATAAGAAAAATTAAAATTGCAAACTGTTCTGGTTTCATTTGCCGTCAATTTTACGAAGTGCTTATTTTCTAGGAAAGAAAGTGATTACTATAAGCCCATACTATGTCACTTTGGCAGGTCATAACTAGACAGCTAATTGGAAGAGTGAAGACATGCAGGACAACATGAAAAGTAAGCATTTTATAGCCTTCATTGCATTGTAACCTGTACATATATATGGCTATTGCAAACCCTTGTGCTGCACGAATGGGAAGTCTCTAGGTCCAAACTTTATATACAGCATACTATTAACTATACCCTTTTTCCTCATTTATGGAATCGAAGTACAGTTTTTCGTTAATAAATATGTGCTCATTCCAGTCATTTTTCACATATTATAGAGAAGTCTACAGAGTGTTCTATTTTTATTGTGGCCATTTTACCCCCTCAAAATTTTCTACACATCTTCCTATCAATACAATTGCTCTTGAAAGATAAGCGCATTACAAATCAGCTCTCAGGCATAACTATTCTTACCCAAACTAAATATATATTAATAAAAGAATCATTAAGTTTGTGACACAGTATACCGCCGTTGATAATTAGCATTGAAGCACGAGAACCTGGTTAAATCCAACCAGTGACCAGTCCGGACAATACTGATTTCAATTACGCAACAGAAATGTCTTTGGCAACGTTAACAATCACCAATTAAATCCACTTACATTAATATGCATTATCAACAGAGACACGGCTGTACGTTAAACTTAAATAATGGCAACTCGCGGGCGGATGGAAAACAAATTATTTTACAAAGACTTCATGGATGCCCTTAATTTGCAGGAGACGTGAATAATATCGGTGAATTATCACTTAGTAGGTACGCTAAGTTGTTGGAACTATTTGTTGCTTTAACATCGGGCCAACTTGAAATTCGGACATGAGAATTTACGACGACACATCTTTGTGAATATTATGAGTTACGGATTAATTTACCGTGCAGTTCCGGGTGAGTAGCAAACAGCAACACAGCTTGGACCATCGGTCAAAAAAAGGGTGGTAAATAATTATTGTAATCTTACTGCACAACAACGGTTAACTTAATGTTGATTGGAAAGTAAACCGCGCAGATGAATTAATATAATGGAGACGAACAGTTCGTCTCCATTGTTGTGGTGAGAGGTTTTATAGTTCGTCACGAACTATAAAACCTCTCACCACAACAATTATACAATCATAATATTACACCCCCGCTACTACTATATATTCACATAAACATAAGCTCTATGCGGAGTAACTTCTGTCGATGTAAATAGGGTTAGGGACCATTCAAAAACTACGTCAATAACATTCTGCCTTTGTCAGTAAGTTAACACACAGCTATTGTGTGAAATAAGATTGGCGTCAGCACCACGAAGCTCCCCCCTCCCTTCCTTCTATGATGTCGACGTTATGACGTGAGGGGGTGTTCGCAACACCCTCCCTTAGGCTTAAGAGGATTTAATAAAGTTGTACAAATTAAATTGGTGTTTAATGACACAATATCGGCACGGTGTAGTACTGTACAGTGTACATAACAAACGAATATTTAATGCTTAAGGTTAGTCAATAAAGATTTAATTATTATAATTACAGTTGATAAAGGAATATTTAATGAATAATGTTAGTTAATATGCCGAATAGAGACACCTTGTATAACAAAATAAAAAGAATTCCTCTCACTACACTGTGATCAACTGAGAGCAACAACAATTCGTTAGGCCAACACCTGTCCTCCTGTTGTGTTCGATTTTTCCTTATAAATTGTAATTGTAAATGTAGGTAACAATAGAAACTGTTCAGTTTCACGGTTTAAGCCTCACATTATAAGGCATAATTACTTTACTCGGTTACAAGTGTTATTACTGGTCACAGTTCAATTAAATTAAAGAATAACCAGATAATCACTGATGACACAACTACGCACAGATTACATATTACCCAGTGTTTTTTGTAGACCTAAAAACATATGAGCATCAAAACTGAAACATGATTTTACCATTTTTGAAGATGATAGATTTATGTGTTTTTTTACATGACACCTGTGAAAACAAACTACTTAACTACTGGTTGGAAATTAATGATAGAAATTAGAAGTAGAAAATAATAAAAAAGATTGTAAGTAGGTATTTGGTTATAAGCTACAGTAAACCCCTGATTTACCGTGGAGTTTGGGAGAAAAGAATTGAGCACAAGCATGCTATATCAGCACTCGCTAGTCCCGGAGATATGTCCCGGAGGTATGTCCAGGAGATATGTCCCGGAGATATATCCCGGAGATATTACCCGGAGATATGTCCCAGAGATATGTTCCGGAGATATGTCCCAGAGACATGTTCCGGAGACATGTTCCGGAGATATGTCCCAGAGATATGTCCCGGAGATATGTCCCGGTGATATGTCCCGGAGATATGTCCCGGAGATAAGTCCCGGAGATATGTCCCGGAGATATGTCCCGGAGATATGTCCCGGAGATATGCCCGGAGATATGTCCCGGAGATCCACACCTTACTCTTAGGAGCTGAAGGGATGATATCTTATCAACAGCAAAACTGGTGGCGGTGCAATAACAATATGACTGTAACTTTGCTTTGCACTGAGCCTTTATCTTATTTCTATATGTTATCGTATTTAACTAAATATTACTCGAAAACGAAAGTTAACAGTCTACGGCAATTTAACATACGGCAGAATCATGATCTGGTTTCAGTATGCGACCATTTAGCTCCGTGAATCATGATCTGCTCCCAGAATACGACCATTTAGCTCCGCGAATCATGATCTGCTCTCAGAATACGACCATTTAGCTCCGCGAATCATGAAATCGCTCGGATGACACCTGTAACATGGTTAATTTACAGGGAGAGCTATTCTTAGTTCTACCTAGCAGTAAACAAAGGGAGCCCAACTCTGGGTTATAAGTAAGAACTAACTACTCACAGTTAGAAGTTACATACTATAGTAAGAACTAACTACTCACAGTTAGAAGTTACATACTATAGTAAGAACTAACTACTCACAGTTAGAAGTTACATACTATAGTAAGAACTAACTACTCACAGTTAGAAGTTACATACTATAGTAAGAACTAACTACTCACAGTTAGAAGTTACATACTATAGTAAGAACTAACTACTCACAGTTAGAAGTTACATACTATAGTAAGAACTAACTACTCACAGTTAGAAGTTACCTACTATGGTAAGAACTAACTACTCACAGTTAGAAGTTACATACTATAGTAAGAACTAACTACTCACAGTTAGAAGTTACATACTATAGTAAGAACTAACTACTCACAGTTAGAAGTTACATACTATAGTAAGAACTAACTACTCACAGTTAGAAGTTACATACTATAGTAAGAACTAACTACTCACAGTTAGAAGTTACATACTATAGTAAGAACTAACTACTCACAGTTAGAAGTTACATACTATAGTAAGAACTAACTACTCACAGTTAGAAGTTACATACTATAGTAAGAACTAACTACTCACAGTTAGAAGTTACATACTATAGTAAGAACTAACTACTCACAGTTAGAAGTTACATACTATAGTAAGAACTAACTACTCACAGTTAGAAGTTACATACTATAGTAAGAACTAACTACTCACAG